GGAAACATGCTGTGGACATATCGCTGTATCCAGCTTTTGGCCTCTTTCACCCCCTTCGTGATGGCTGGTGGTCAATGCCGGACAGAAATTAGTATTCTTGGTATGGCTCTCGATGGTTTGGTCTTCAAAAGGATGTCAGTAACATCCCCACATCAGTGTGAAGTCCATTGCGAAAGAGAAATCACTTGCCAAAGCTATAACTACGTCATAGGGGAGAAAAATTGCGAATTGAATAACCGTACCAAGGAGGCGAGGCCACAAAATTTCCGCTCTGACACTGCACGGTTTTATAAGCGACGTTCTGTGGACAGAGGTATGTGGTCAGTCTTAAATGCTCGTAACAGTTAGTATACTTCGGTGCCTTATGTATCGCCGACCAGTACCGAAAGCCTTTCAGTTTTATATAATCATATAGGTGTAATAAAAAAATAGGTTACAATTTTTTTGAACTAGAGGCATCACTCTGAGCGAACCACAATAACAAAATTGTTCTCAGAGACACCATTAATTTTTTAGTTCCTTTGGGTTCTATTCCTGAATTACCAGCGGTATCTTGCCAAGAAATACAGGCGAGTGAAGGCAAATACAACATTAGCAACAAGTACTGGTTGGATACCAGGAGCACGGGACAGGCTGAAATGGTTGATTGCAGTGACTCAGTAAAGGGTGAATTTTAGGTTAACCTGCCCTTGTTATATTCGATTGTATTTACTTTATACTTAAACTATTTTTTTGATACCCAAGACTGAGAAAAAATGAAGGGAACGCAAGGGAAGCGTCATTTTCTCTTTTTTTGTAACGACACCTTTCGTCTCTTCCATGATGCTTTGCAATATTTTTGTAGCCTCACTGTGGCGATTCAGATAAAGATGTCAATAACGAGAACGATGACAATGAAGATTACTGGTGCAATGAGAAAACAAATAAACAAACAAAAGTAGAACAAGCATAGACCACAATGATTTATCAATTTATCAAATTACCCGATGCTTTACAAGTCTTACGATAACTCATAATAAGATTTACCTGTTTAGTGTTTCGTGACTTATTAAGGTGCACTTTTATTTTTTCCCTCAGTTTGTGACACTAATCCTTGTAAGAACGGCGGAACGTGTGTAGCGGCACCCAGTGCAAAAATCTATAAATGCAAATGTACGGATACATTCACAGGCATTAATTGTTCAGAACCAAAACCCGTGGTGTAGAAAACAGACGACAACGCGACCCGTAAGTATAGTCAACTTCAATTTTTCCCCTCACTTTTGGCAACAGCGAGGGATTCCAAAAACTCAGGCTGTCATTCATTACTATGGTCGAATAAAAGTGCAGTCCTCACCAACCATCTTGATAATGGGCAGCTTTTAAAACACCAAATGTCTAACCTAAGGCTCCTATAACCCATTTCCGAATTAGCCTCTTTTTCAAGGCGAGTTCTGGTGTTCATCCTTTCATGTGATTATAAGTTTTCATTCACATGCAAATTGAGCTCATTTTAATTCGATTGGTTGAGTACCAGACCTCGTTTTGGGAAAGAGGCCAGGTAATTCAGAAATGGCCTGTTGATGTTAGATTAATATTAGCTTGCTTGGGGGTGGGGGTGGGGGTGGTAGGAGGACTGGTGCAAAATGGACCAAAAAAAAAAAGAAGAAAAATAAGAAGGAACGCACGGGGGAGGGTTGGGGAAGAATAATCACGAGGAGTTGTGCTAGATTTTTACTAGCATATTTAAAACGTATGAAATTTCAGCAAAATAAAATTTTAATACTGCCAAAACTATTTCTGAAAAGCGTGCAAAGCAGCGAAAATTTTGACCAAAATATTTCTTTAGAATCAATTTACAGCAGCTGTGATTGTTTTCCTTTTTTCTAGCGGACACAAGTCTGGCAGCTGGCAACGGTAAACCAGAAAATCAAGATTACTATGACTTTGATCTCGTATTCAGAAAAACACAACAAATGAACTACGTAACTCATAGTTTGAACCTCATGTGGATTACGCACTTCACCGTCTGTGCCTGGATGAACACACCAGGTGTAAAACAGAACAAGACGCCGATGAGCATCATAAGTGTATTGACCAGGTTGGATGACGGCAGTTATAAAGTTCTGACAGTGCAAATCGATGGACAAGGGACTGTTTACTTTTCATATGGGAATGATCGGTAAGAGGTTTACTGAACTGCATTTGCTAAATTTAGTCTGCTTGCAAGCGTTAGTTTGTGTTTCCGCGCGACGAATATTCGTATTTAGTATATACTAAAACAGTGGATAGCGTTGAAGGCGGGCTCTGATTGGCTAGTCAAACTCCAAATATCCTTTGCTAGATACCTCCGAGCAACTCGGGGAAAAAAATGGCGTCCCAGTTTGCATCAGTGACAAGCGAAGAAATCACTCAAATTAACGACGAAGCAGCCCCTGAAAACACAAGAAAGCGACTAAATCTGGGTTGGCCGTGTTTAAAGGTAATGGTTTAAGTTTTTAACCCGGAATTTATAGATAAAAACCATTGAGAGAGGTTTTGTTTACAAATGCAAATTAATCTTGCGTAACCTCACTTGTTCACTTCC